GTCTAGTAATGTTCTGTCCTTCATGTATGAAGATAATGCTAATTATCCTCCAGAGAGGATGGAAATGGACCAAAGATAGATGATTACAGAGCTATGGTGTAATGTAAAAGTTTAACACTAAATCTGATTCACCCATAATTTAGGCCATGAAAGTGATGTTCTAAAGATGGGGCTGAATAAAATATGGCCAGTCAATATGCCCATTCTTGTGCGTACCAATAGAGCTGAATCATAGTTTTAAAATCACTTAAATGTAAGCCCTAAAACATTGCTGCCTCAGAAAGGGCAACCCATCAACAGTCAGGAGACAAGGCTTCCAGCTCCAACTCTGCCAGCAGGTTTTGTGACTTTGAGTAGAATCATAATATTTATTGAACACCCGTTAGGCTTTGAGAAACCGAACTGGGCATTTCGTCTTACTTAAACTGTTTAGCCACTTTCTGAATTGTATAATACATTTACCTTGTACAGATCAGGAAATTACAATTCTGAGAGGCTAATGAACACTGGCCAAGATCACTCCGTTGGCCAGTGACAAAACTGGAGTTTGACACAAGTTTCTTGCACATTAAACTGTTTCCATCACTTAAACTCCTGAGCCCTACTTCACTTCTTTGTAGAAGTGAGGTCTACATGCTCTCCATATCCTTTGTCACTGAAATTCTCTGATTTTTCAGTAAATATTTAATGTCATGTTCTATTATTATTATTATCCATTATGCATCACTGGCTGCTAGCAGAACTTTTTCTTAATTTGTGTTATCTGCTTCGAACATTGATGTCAGTCAGATTTACCAAATAAATGAAATTTCTATTTGGGTTGGCTTAACACACCATATCCTTGTGATTTACTTTTACTTTGGTGTATATGTAAAATAAAGTCAAATATTACAGAGTTTGGCTCCTGCAGCCCGAAGCTGCAGGTGCCCTTTGCTAAAAGTAGAGGTGCCGGCACCTGTGGTCCCTTCCATCCAGCAGACACCGCTCACAGGATGGTCCTCGTGTCTCTTTGCCCAAAGGATGGGGGACAGACGTCCCTACAGCCTTTTCATATTTGTTGCCACTTTTGGTCTGGTGCCTGCAAATAAAGTTGTTACCACACACATGCAGAGGGAATCTAAAATCCCTGCCACTAAAAAAGGACATTGTTGCTGCGGGTTTGTTGTTACCGTTTGGACATCACAAGACTGATTCAGAGCATATGAATCATTTTGGCAAAAAAGCCTTCCATAATAAATGGGAAATAACTGACTGTCAAACAAGTTGGAAAAGTTTGCCTGCCTATATCCCAGAGCTGCATTCAAACTTCTAAAGACTCAGCCGCCTCACTGTGGCAATGCACAGTTCAAGCTCCTGAGCGCATTTCTTGGTAGTTAACAAGTTGTCCAGTAGGTGGCAGGGTGTTAACACTCTGTTAATAGGTTTTGCTTTTAAAAGGAATTTTCTTAAACTTGGCTGGAAAATAATCTTAGGAAGAACTTGCTTCCTAAGTACATGCACAGTGTGGAAACATACATTAAGCATATTTGTTTCATTTTTAGAAATAGATGTGAGATTCGATAATAGCTGAGCTTTTATATCTCATTTGGGTTTGCTAACTTTATACTCAACCATTATCCTTCTTCCTTCAAATATTTCTCATATACACTTCCAATTATTTTTTCTTAGAAATAAGTAGAAACAGATATAGATTAGAAGTGGGTTTTTTCAGAATTACAAATATTTATTGGCAAGCTTTTTGAAAGTGAAAATTTGCATAATCAAGTAATCACAGTAATTAGGAATTACTGGAAGCTGATACGCTATAGTGCTCTGTGCAAATGAACTGTAGTGGAGGCTGGGCAAAGTAACGGGAAGGGCACATCTACAAATTACAGAGATAATTCAGACGAAAGCATCCGTGCATTCCACGTATTTGAATATATCAAGTGTTTTGTCATCTTTAATCTATTCAGATATTATACTTGCCTAATACCATTTTCCAATTGTCCCAGTTCCCGCATCTTATTTTCTGGTGTGTGTGTATGTGTTTAGCCTACATGGAAATTCTCGGTTAAATAAATTAAATTCTAAAGATACTAAAATCTGCCAACCTTGATCAGATTGACAAATTTGTCCACTAATTTGTTTTTAAGGGGGAAACAAACACACTATATAGTAACACTGTCTAGCCAAGCCATTATTGTGAGAGGCAATGCTGCTTAAATACTCTGTACTGGGAAAAATAAAAAATACTCCATCTCACATTTTGACATTTTGTTGTATTTAACTAAAGTGCAACAAACGATGAACTCTATCATTGTGTTCTGAAGCAAATCATTGCATTTAATTATGTTGCCAGTCCTATCTCTCCAGAAGATAAGACGTTTTTGTGATGGAAACTGAATTGCCTATTTGCACTGTTGAAAGCAGTGTGCTGTCTGCAGCAGGCGGTAGTTGGGGGCAGATAAGCTCCTGGATAGCTCCTCTTGAATGTGCTTGTCATTGTAATAATATTTAAACACTGCTCACGGCCTGTATATCTCAACTGAGTTACAAAGATGCAGACCTGCATTATCTTTGCATTCCTATTAACTCTACTCAATAAGGTCTTTGACAGACCTTCAGTCTGCAGAGGATTTGTCCAGTCAAGATGGTCTGGATGAATTCTAAGGCCAGCCTCTTAATTCTTCTTTTATTTCAATCTTTTCATCTTGAGAGCATATTCACAAGTCTTAACTGAAAATTATTTTCCTGGGAAACTTTCTATGAAAAATTATGAAAGACTCCAGCCTCCAGAGTAATTGTTTTCATATTATCTACTTTCAACGTCCTAAGCTGGGTGTTTTAAGTTGTCCACAAGCTGAAAATTCTCAAACAATACACTGGGAAATTCAGTAGCTGAGAAGTCCTCATTTTACCTTTCTTACCAGATTTCCTCTCCTCCTTCTCCACCTTCCCTAGTTGAGAATTGAATCAAGAATTACGAGAATTGCCTGAAAAATGTTATTGCCCTTAAGTATGAAAAACAGGATGTCTAAGAGTACGTTATTAGCATTCGGTCTGTAACACCCACATAAATCTCCAGGCGCATTATAGAGCCCACCTGGCCTGTGGTCTTGTCTCACTGCAAACTGGAGACAGAGCAGCGTGCCTAGCGTGGCACCTGGCCCCTTGTTAGAAAGAACGAATAATATCCTGTTAATATTTCCTGAGGGATTATGTTCAAAATTTTTTCTGAAAATATGGCATTCTTTTCCTTATTAGTATTTTCAGAGTTTGTAAATTGTGGGGGCAACTTTGCCCGCAAGTCCCCCCATCCACCACAGATGACAGTGAAACTACCAAGACATGATCTGCTTGGGGAGGAAAGGTGGTCAGTCTCTCAGAGGAGAAGGACCAAGAACCCCTTCCTCAATGGCTTTTATTAGGTTCAGAACACACAGGAATACAGGAAAAGCTCATCAATCAATGTCAGGCAGCGGCAAGGATCGAACAGTAGATAACATTTCAAAGAAATCTGAGGGCTTAGTCTGAGTCAGTGTCTGTCAGGAAAGGGGGTTGTAGAAACTTTGGGAGACATACTCATTTCCTGCTTGGACCCTTATCATATGAATGAAAACACTCTTAGCAAAGCAGGCTTCACAGGACTTTAGGAATTATTTCTTATGCCTGATCACCCCGGATCCTGCTCTAGCCCCCAAAGGACTGCACCGCCTTCCCCATCACAGGTTTTTAGGCTTAAGTGGATTAGAGCCAGGAAGTACTTCTCCCAGACGGAAATGGGGACTCGGGCTATACCAGAATAGCTGGGGGGTGAGGGTCCATTGCTCCCTCTTTGTTGCAGCCCCCCGAGTCTTTCCTTAATGGCCCCCCCAAGTGATTGTGTCTGGCTTAGGTTGCCCCCCCCCCAGGGGTCTTACCCATCTCTGACTAACCCACCAAGTGCTAGGGGCGGGGGATGAAGCAGAAGCAGCACTGCTGCCAGAGACAAGCTTTATCTCCTTAGTGGCTCACATTCCAGAGGTCACTCACTCAGCCTTAGCCATGGGGGGCAGTTACAACTCCTGAAACCAGGCAGAGCACTTCCCAAAGGTCTTTTTTTTTTAGTAGAAGGAAAGAAAATGTGCTCAAATGTTTCACTTATTCACCCCCTATTCTCACTTTGTGCAATAGAAACACAAGTGTGGAGCACAGCAGAGGAAGCTCCTTCTGTTCATTCCAACCCCAACCCCCTCCTCCACCTCATCTGATGATGAAAGTGGGGTGATATAAGGTCAGTCCAAGAGGAGCAGCAGGACTAAAGTTTAACTTCAGGAAGTTGACAGTTATTTTTATTTAGACCTAAAAAAAATTAAATACACTGTGTCAAAAATCCAGCAAAAAAAAAAAAATGGTAATGGGAGCAAAGAAATTCCAGACTCAGAAGTCCCATGAAGTCATCTCTATACCTCTTGCCAGCATAGGGTCTTTAAAACACATGTTCTCAGGGTCCTGGCCAGCCCAGCATCAGCTGCCCCAAAGATGGGCTTCCATCATTTCTCTGGCAAAACAATCTTGAAGCCCAGCAGGCCAGGTCTTCTGACCTGCATTTCCCAGTTTAATATAATCCCAGTACTAGGAAATACTGCATTCACTTTCTGTTAAATGCAACTTCTCAGCCAACATTTGCTTCATCTGAGCCTGTGCATCTAGAAGCAAAATTTACATTGCTAAGTTCAAATTCTTTTCATATTTACCATCAACAGATTCAGAAGTGCCATCCAAATCTAAATGTAACAAAACCAGCACTCTCTTCTTGGCAGGAGGACAGGATCTTTAATGTCTGTGACATGAAAAGCCACAGCATATAGAAGGTCACAATTTACTGAAGAGTCTAATAGGTTCCTTTTTGTCTGAAAATAATATCAACAGGAATAGCATTTGAACAGGGCCTCCCCCTTTGCAAAGTAAGCCAAGACACGTTGTCTCATGGGTATTTTGTTCTTTCATTCCCACCAATGGAACACTCAGCAGGTCCAATGTCGTGCATGCAGCAGCCTAAGGAAAGAGAAAGCCCTGGGCAGCAGCCCCATGTAGTGTGTTTTCAGCCCTACTCAGCGCTGGCAGTGCGGGAAAGCGTGGGGCAGCTCGTGAGAGGATGAGTTCATGTTCAGCCTGGGAAAGCGGCACAGTGGCCGTTCCTGCTGCTCGGCATGAAATGAGCCATGAGAAGCATGAAATCACTGACCACAGGTGTAGAGATTCACAGTGACATAAATATCTTTGCTGATTAGCAGTTGGAGGAAGGCTGTGGGAAGATTTGCCCCAAGCTCCTCCCAGCCAAATCCGCCTCTATAAAGAAATGGTCCTTTAGGCCACACTCTTGCCCGGGAGCTGGATGAGTCTCATCTCAACTTCCAGCGAAGGGACTCGTGAAGAAGAATGAGAGAAAGATGTGGGTGGGTCCTTATTTCAGTTCATTCTCAGGAAAAGAGTAGAAGAAATCATAAGGTACAAACCTGCTAGGTTTGTTTGACCACAAATACTTAAAGTCTTCTGTGTGTTAAAAAAAATTCCATAAACAAAATTTTCAAAGATAATTAAAGACAAAATTATTATCTCTGTGACAAATTAACAATACAATGATATAAACTGTTTTAAAATTTCTTGAAAAAATTAGTTTAACTGATGTGAAAATATGCAAATAAAATGGAAAGCAAGTCCCCAAAGGAGGGTTAAAGTCATAAAATATATGAAAAGTATTCAAATTCACTAATAATGAGATATATGCAAATTAATGTACTAAATATACTGTGTTTGTCTGTGAAACCTGAAGTCTTTTTTTTTATTGTAACATTCAGCCTCAGAGAGGATGGAGAAAAGGGAGATCATACCATCTAATTTCAGTTTTAAATTCTTCTTTTTTATTTAGTATCAAACCAAATTTTATTTATATATATTACTGATTCATTTCTGCATTATTCTTTTTAGTTTCTTATCAGTGTAAGCAAGATACAGTTGGATTTTTAACCAAATTAAAATTATAGTCTTTTCATGGAAAAAGACATTCCAACTAATTGGACATTGCTCTTAAGTTTTGCTGTTCATTCTGCATTTTTTTGTTATCTAATCAATGCTAGATAACCAAAAAAATCCTTGTTTAATTTTAATTTCTACTGAAATCTAAAGTGTAGAAGTCCCGTAGCAATTATTATCACATATAAATATAACATAATTACTAACCATAATAATTATAAACAGACCATTACAGAAAAATATACAACTAATTAATAATAAGAAATATTAAATATATTAGGTTTACCAGCTGATTATTTCAGTTATTAAAATTTTTATTTATCAAAAACTCTGACATGGAAAAAATCTGGCAATATAGTAAAAACTTGACAAACAACTAGCACAGTATGATCCCAAATACATCATATACATATATACATACGAGTATATATAATATTCAAGGGAAAAAAATGAGAATTAAATACACGCAAACAGCAACAATGACGTCAGCTATTTTTATCAGATATGGATAACTTTTTCTCTACTGTATTTTTGTTAATTTTCCAAATTTTAGTAATGAATTTATATGTTTAAAAAAAGAATTTATTGTATTTTTTTATTACCATTTAGCCCCCTTATATGCCCCTCCCCCCCCCAATCACCACACTGTTGTCCATGGCCATGGGTCCTTTTTTATTTTTCTTTGGCCCCTCTACCCACTAACCTCCCCCACCCCCCACCAGAGCTGTCCTTTTTTATAATCCAAAAACAACTACTAAATTTAATTTTAACTTAATGCTTATCAATGAACTTCCCAGAAAGCAAAACTATCAGACACTCTTCTAATGCCTTCTAGCAGATTACAGAGATTATTCAGAATTCCAAAAACCAAGTTGGCAGTACATGGTCACAGGCCAAGCCCCTGAACAAGGATGGCTAGTTCCAGCCCCACAAGGCCATATCCGTCAATGGTAATGAGTGGAAAGGAACTTGATTTGCACTCTGCCCAACTGTTTTCCTATGTTAGCATGCAAGACACAACCTTGACATGCCCTCCAGCCCATAGATTGTCTAACATATACCAAAAGACCATAAAACATAACACTCCAACAGCTGGTTTTTTTAAATTATGAAAGTACTTGAGCATTGTTCTGAAGTTGAGATTTAATGAAAATGAAGCAGCAAATGTATCTTTTCCCAGTTTGTATCACTTAATTTTAATTCTATTGTTCTTTATCTTACTACTTCAGCGTTTATTTTCTTGTTTCATTTACAAAGCCTATGAATTTGTTATTTTGGAGTTTATAATCCAATTTGTGTCTATTGTTTAGCCCAGTAGAGTGAATTTGCAGGACAATCATAGGCTACAAACAATAAACTCAAAGCAAAACTAAAATTTTGCCATCTTTATAAGGCCATCAGGAGTTCTAATGCCAATTGTTTATCATTTTTCTTAAGGAAATTGAATTTTTTGCCACCAACTATTTCCTATTGAATCCTTCTCAATTGATTATAAATGGGGAAAGAGGTTGAATTAACTTGATTTATAGAGCAATGCTAATGCTTATATATTCCCACTCTCTTATAGTCCTTAGATATAACGAAGACATATATCTTTTCTTTATAGGTGTCTAAAAGTTTGAGCATATTTTAAAAATAGGACAATTGGGAATAAAACAATGCAAATTGTTTAAAAGGAACAAGAAAAAGCAGAGTCTACTACATTTAAAATAAACCAATTACTGTCGGACACCAAATTTGCCTCCAATTTTTCTGTCAGTAAATGCAAATCAAGAAACATCGAGTCACAAAAAATAAAAATATCTAGAAAATGTATCAGCAAAGATAAACTTTTTACTGCATCTCTATTCAAATATAATTTTATCACATGGTTCCAGTTATAAAAAATGTTGAACACCAGCATGAAATGATTTCCACCGCAGCTGTAGCAAAGACAGGGTGGCGGTGTGTGGGTGCACGGCGTGAGAAGCTGCCCTCCACACGGGAGAACTCTGTCCCCACCACGGCTCTCGGCTCCCAACGTAACATGCTCAGGCAGCTCTTCCCCAGGTACCAAAACTCATCATGTTCAAAACTGAACTACCCGCCCCTCACATCCTGCTGAATTAATCAGTGTTTCTGATTGCACACAACAGAAACTAATTTGTAGTTGCCATAGCAACTGGCATTTTGTTGGAAGGCTCCTAGGGCAGCTTGCACAGCGGCTACTCTCCACACCCTTTAGGGAACGGAACTGTACACATTGTAAGCCTGCGAGAAGCCTGGTATTATTTTCTTTCTAGCTCTTATCTCCGCGGCTCTCTGATTACTGGCTTCCTTCCACTGCAGACCTGCGCCATCCGTGTCAGAGGTCAGGGGCCCCACGGATCCTTCTCTGACATGGTCCTTCCTTTCAGACCACACTAAAACATTGCCTGCCTCTTTCTTCTTTTTTCCGTTCCCAGAGCACTACACACTCTCTTCCCATCACAGCCTTTGCCCTAGAATGTTACCCCGTTACCCACCCAGCACATCTTTGCCTAACTGGGCATCCTCAGGTATTCAACTTAAAAGTCACTTCCTCCATGAACCCTTCCTTTAAATCTTAGGTCATTCATTCATTCATTCACTCACTCAACAAATATTTACTGGGCACCTTCTATGTGACTCTTTCAGTCACATGGAAAATTGGGTATTGGATGAATACTGATCCCTACCTTAATGGAGGTTATAATCTATGATAAAAATTATGTTTGCATTATGATAACTATGGTGGAAGAAAGCAATAGGATAAAGCACAATGGGGGGAACTCAGAGTGGTCAGAGAAGGCCTGCCTGCAGAGGCAATATTTCAGTTTATACCTCTGACCCAAACAAAGGAATCAGAAGGTGGACCAGCTCCATGGTGCATTTGAAGGACTGATTGAAAAGATGAACTAGAGCAGGGGTGTCAAACTCATTTTCACCCGGGGCCACATCAGCCTCGAGGTTGCCTTCAAAGGGCCAAATGTAATTTTAGGACTGCATAAATGTAACTACTTAACAGTTAAGCAAGAGCTCGGCATTGCTGCTGGGTAGAAACAAGGTGCCGAGCGAGATAAAACCAGCTGGAGGGCCGGATTTGGCCCACGGGCCTCGAGTTTGCTACCTGTGAACTAGAGCATGGCTATCACAGAAAATGCAATCACATCCCCAAAAGGTGGTGGAACATAAGTGAGTAATTAGTAATCCACACACCTGATTTGGCTGCAGGGACATTTTGTTTAACTAACAGAGTACTTTAATTAGTTTTTTACAATTTTAATACATTGGGCAGGCAACAACATGCTGCACTCCACACTTACATCAGGCCAGATCTAGACATGTATGCTACTTGCCAGTCCCCAGAATTCCACTTGGAAGGTGCTGGAAGCAAATTGCATTGGCTGTTTCTGTGGCTATGTGGAAACACCTAATGGAATGTTTATAATCTTTGAGGTTGTTTATGTAGTGGAATGAGCTGAGTGGAATCCTGAAGCCACAGTAGAATCTCACGCAAGAAATGAAATCATGCCTCATTGCAGGGTAGCCATTTTATTTCTCTGCGCAGTAAATGCTCTCGAAGTATTTTTAAAGCAATTGCTTAGAGGAAATGCTCTTAAAGGTTTTTTGATCTCACACACATGTTCTCAGAATTTATAGAAATTGTACTAACCGTATCATGTTTAAACAGAATGGAACTTTTAAGTGGAGACTACATTTGTATGCACACTAAAAAGTATCACTGTTGCCCTGGCTGGTGTAGCTCAGTGGATTGAGCACAGGCCTGTGAAGCAAAGGGTCACTAGTTTGATTCCCAGTCTAGGGTATATGCCTGGGTTGCTGGCCAGGTCCCCGGTAGGGGACACATGAGAGGCAACCACACATTGATGTTTCTCTCCACTCTTTCTCCTTCCCATCTCCTCTCTCTATAAATAAATAAATAAAATATTTTTTAAAAAATAAAAATAAATAAAAAGTGTCACTGTTTCCATTACAGAAGTGCTTTCAGAAATATTGGATTCTGAAATGAATTGGGACATAGTGTGTCCGGGAAGGTGGGTCTCAGCCCCGCTTCCACCACCAGCTTTGTCTTAATCTGTTCTGATACTCGTGG